GGTTCATCTATATAGGGCATTTACACCACGGGAAGTCAAGGAGTCTCTTCAATACAGTACTTTGCAGGACCACAGGGCTTGCGTAGTTGTGGCTCATTAGTAGCCTGCTCCACCTGTACTCGTGGGGTCTGGGATACGTTCCAGGGGGAAGAAACATTTCCACAGCGCGCTAAAAATTGCTGGAGATATGGACAAAGCTGGGTGGCAATAAAACAAACATCGGTGCAGTGACATGTTAGGACGCGAGGTCAGTGTGTGGGCTTTGATCTATTCCTTTGTTCCACCTGCCAAGCAAAGCCTCACTTCACACTGGGATCTATTTTTCATGTTACCTATCCACATGGACTTTTGGCAAGCGGGATCCTTGTCGGAGGAGTAATGGGAAATGCTATTCACATGTATATCCCGCATGCAGAGATGCAGTATTGCACTGGGAGTTGCTAATTTACTGTAACATCCCGTTACTTTTGCTAGCTTGAAGTTACTTAAGTCAACTTGTAAGTTACTTTTGCTAACTTTACTTTACTTGCCTGCCATAAGTAAAGTAAAGTTAGTTTTGGCAGGCCAAGTTAGTTTGTACAAGTAACTTTATTAACCATCACTTGGCAAGAAGCTCTTCGAATCGAGACTGATCCCATGGCTCCTGATGAAGAAAATTAGAAGAGCCTAATTTTAAACGACAACACTTGCCCGCTTTTCGGCTTGCTGCTTCTCGAACGCAGCCTCGATAGAGTTTTGAATTTTGTTGAGTTTGTGTGTAAATTTGCGGGACACCTGCTCCGTCATCTCTTTCTTCCCATGGGCAATATCTAACTCTTCTTGGGTAGGGGATGGTGCATCCTTCTCGTTCCAGAGAAGGAACATGATACATCCGTTCGTGCTCTGGGAAGGTCTTAATGTGGGATCTAAGAGCTATGAAAATGTTTAGCAAGAGACGTTAGCCATTGAACTGCAACGTACTGCTCAGGTTGCCGTTTGAGCTGGCAGTAAGTGTGATTATCTTCTTGCTGCCCAGATTGCACCGATAGGACTTGCTCTTGTCACCTGGATCTTTGTTCTCCAGAACAGTCAAAAAAGGTCGGATGGGGTTCTCTTTCTGTTGAATATTAAGGATTATTGCAGATCAGGACGGAATAGACATTGATGTCGTACTCGTTTTGCTGGAGGGTTTGCTTCCTTCGCAGCGTTAAGTCGGTCTGAAGGCTCGCGGCCCTACAAAAAGTGGCGGTGAGATTGGTTTTCGATTTAGTGTGGATCACTTACTGTTGCCATTGACCTATCTGTACCTTTTTAGCATCCTTTTCAGCTCAATGCAGATAAGTAACTTCAAATAACTTCAAGTTACTTGGAAGTAACTTGGCCCGCGAAGATAGATCAATGCGATCAACAAAAGTAACTTATGCCATCAGATGGTATCAATTGCAGCCAAGTTCGTCAAGTTATGGTCGTAAGAGCATGAATCCACACTTGTTACGACCCCTAGAGTTGTTAAATTGCTCTAGTATGCTGGGACTTTTTCTAACTTGAAGTTACTTGAAGTACTTGTGCTTAATTTACTTGACTTGTCTGCCACAAGTAAAGTAAAGTTAGTTTTGTTAGGCTAAGTTAGTTTTTCCAAGTAACTTTGTTACCCATCCTCAATTAACGTTGGTCCGTGCGCGCCACGCCATCTCGCACGTGATCGCCACCTCATCATTTTTGATTGGCTCGTACAACCTGCTCTCGCTCGTCCGCTCCCGCTGTCAGTGCCTCCCGCCCCCACCGTCTCCCCTTTGGTCAGCTTCTACTGCTTCAAGTATTGCGGTCGCCCTAGCCTGGTGGGAATGCTCTGCGTGTGTCGACCGAGGCCCCGGCGGACACCACCGAGGAAGGGCGTAAAAGGCGCGGAGTGCAAGTGTTTCGATTGTAGGGAGACGGTGCGTGTAGGGCGTCTGGTGTCGCCCGGTGTACTTCCCTCCCCCTCCCGGTTTTCTAGTTGCCGTCGTTTCACCTGCATGCCTTGCTCACTGCCCCATCCCGCCTGCGCCCCATCCCCCATCGCTCGCCTCGCGCAGACGCACATCTGCCCCACACGGCCGCCCGAGGTCAAGGCCCCGCCGATGCGACGCCGGCCGCCGCCGCTGCACTGCTGCATGAGCACGTGTCGTGTCCACAGCATCGAGAGATGGAGACCACAACCTACTACAAAACATGTCCCACGGCGCCATCGAATCCCTCCCTGCCTATCTATCCCTCCCATCGTTGTGCCAATCTTAATGTCGCAATTGTAACTACATCAACCTCACCTCACTCGCAGACAGTCAATCAATCGTATCGAATTGCTTCCCCGCTCGGCCCTCGTCCTGCTCGCCCTTCCGCGCGTTCACGTGTATGCTTTGCTCTTCTCTTCAGGTGTCTCTCGTCTCGCAATACAACGCCTTGCGGAGATGGTGTTGGTGAGAGTGCCATCCAACCCCGTGTCGTACCGTTCGTCCCCCTCCCATCCCATCGCCTCCTTGTCATCCCGATCCATCCCCTCTCGTTTCGTCCCGTCCCCCGACTCCATCCCCATGCACATCCCTTCACATTCAGCATGTCCCGCCGCGCCGAGGCCTGCCTCTTCTTTTGCTTTGCTTTTGCTTCTATTTTCGCCGCCTTCGCTTTTGTTTTCGTCGGGTTCACTCGGTCCACGCGTCTTTGATTTACGTTGGAAATCGCGAATCGCTGCTCGTCGACTCGTCAACAGGGATGGCCACTCGCTCACCCGGCGCTTGGGCCGCCCACCCTGCGCTTGGCTTGGCTTGGCTTAGCTGGCGCGTCCCACCCTTGCATGCTCGTGTGTTGCGTATGCGAAAACCCGGATGTGAGTATTCGCGTGTGGGGGTGCTCTTCCTTCCCTCTTTTCCCCTTCTCCATGCATTCCTCCTTCTCCGCTTTCTTCCCAAATTCAGGCGCTTCACGAGGAGTTCAACTTATCTTGCCGCCGGCTGACAGACATTTCCCGAGCCTTTATTTGCGTTTTCGTGTTCATTGCCCGCCTTGCCCTCGCCCTCGCCCTCGCGGGCAGAGGGAGGGTTGTGCGCGCGCGGGCGCCGGGTGCGTTGACTCGCCGGCCGGACGGGGATCTGCTCCTCGGATAGTATACGTGGGCGGGGCAGTCTAGTGTGCGCGCGTGCGTCGTCGTTTCAACTCGTCGTTTTCCCCCCTTCTTCCCCCTCTTCTCCCTTTTGTTCATTTCCTTTCTCTCCGTTGTAGTACCATTATTTGCACATGCCTACCTACTCATCTATCCCGTTGGTCAAAAAAAGATTCAGCTTCTGCACAAGACTCGGGCCTGGATCGAACAGGCTGTGGGCTGAGTCGCCGAGCTCGAGCCATTCTGTATACCCCTCCCCACCTAGTCGCACATCTAGAGATAATGAAAAGAGTGATCCTTACACATCTTCCCTGAAGTGTTTGAGAGCCAACTATTTAGTTGGCGGTCACCGCCGATATGGATGAGAGCCCTTTTCCCCGGTTCCTTCATGAACACGACTCGGGTCCGAATCGTTAGGTCAACCTTCAACCTTCCGACTCCGGGGATGCGAACCGGAACCAGAGCGAGGCGCGCCCTGTGGCGGTGGTAATGATTCCTGCCTCGGAGTTGGTGGTACATCTAATCATCGCGGGGTCATGGGAACGGATGATGTTTGAATCTAGAGTATTTATGACGGCGTTAACATTGCCGTCCGCAATCGTGAGGTACTGTCATCCGCACGAAGCGAAACACACAAAACTTACAACCTAAAAAAAAATGTTCGTAAAGCGTGATTAGGACTCGGGCCTGATTCGAACAGGCGGCTTCCACATGTAGGGTCTCCAACCGAGCTCATTTTAAGCGGACGCGGGCCATCCGCTACCGAGTCTTCCCCCTTCCTACTTGCATTGAAGCTTGGTTGCATGCAGGCGAATAAGTACGATGGTGAGAGAAACGGAAACGAAAACAGGGGCAGTTCCTTTTTGCCGTGGGTTCTCCTCTTTGCACAATTGGTAGAAGAGAAAGAAAGAAAGAGTGTGTAAGTAATTTGATGAGCGCTGTGGCTTTTATGTGTGGTATCTGGGAGGGTAGATCACTGGGAGGGCAAATCTAATTCAGATAGAATCTTGGCCTGGGGAAGAAAAAATAGACGCGCCGCAGTAGAACTCGGGCCTGATTCGAACAGGCGGCTTCCACCATGACGAGAAGTGGTACCGCTTAGACGTTGCGGATGCGGACCATCTGCGACGGAGTCATATTTCTACCGCGAACGCGACCTCGATATAGAGTATAAGGATGATAGGGCACTGAACGAGAACCCTTTCTCATCGGTGGACAACAGAAACTTGGAGGCTGCAGCCGATTCGGAGTTTAAAGATCGATCGCAGCATCGAAAACAAACCAAAGAAAACCACAGCCGGTCCAGCTTCGCTGTGTGCGTGCTCGTAAACTTCGCATACGCACGCGTCCGCTAACTTCTCTTCGCTCTCACCCTTCATTCATTCAGTCCTTTCTCTCTGTTGCGTGTGCCGTTGGCGTGTTTGTTCTGGTTGTCTGCATTTATGATCATTTCGTTTCTCTCTTTTCCTTCCTTCCTTGCTCTCCTCTCCTCCTTTCCTCGCCCCTTGGTACGGTCCCATCGGAATCCGAAATTCGGGCGCCTGTAACTTTACATAAATCGCGAGGAGTTCAACTCACCTTATCGCTGACATGCACAACCTTCAACCCGCAATCTTCCGACTCTGGGGATGCGAATCAGAACTAGAACCAGAACCGGAACGAGGCGCGTCGAACAATGGTATGTTTGTAACCATTCCTGCCTGGGAGCTGGTTGTGGATCTACATACCATACCCCCCAAGTGGCCATCGGAATGGATGAGATTCAAAGTTCCCAGTTCGAATCTGGGGTATTGGATTTAAGGCGGCGCACCCCGCGATCGTGAGGTACATACCACTTGCTGTTCTACGCGCGAAGCGAACCCCAAAAAGCTTGGGAAAGCCTTTAGGACTCGGGCCTGATTCGAACAGACGGCTTCCACATGTATGGTCTCCAACCGGAGGTTAAGCGGACGCGGACCATCCGCTACCGAGTCTTGCTCCTTACTACTTGAGTACATTGAAACTTGGTTGCGAGCGGGCAGATAATTATACTATTTTTTATCGCCTACCTGGCCACCCTAGCTAGCTGGCCACTTGGCATCCACAGCCAGCATGCTTGAAGATTTTCTCCGCTGGTGAATGAGGGATCGAATTACAATGCATGATGAAGGTTTGGACCAAATTTGGCCTGAAAGTGATGGGTTGATCGACAGCTATGGCATGTCTGATCTTGATCCCGGGGGTGGGACCATCAATTTCTTACGTTTCCGCCGCCTGCCGAACTTGCCTCGCGACGTTCTCCACCAATTCTTCGTCGTTTCAGAATATTTTGGGCTCATTCTGTCCGTATCCATCTCAGGATTCATATAACATAGATCTACACGACTAAGGGCCAAATGTGTGTCCTCCATACCCTTAACAAGGTGGTACGACTTTTTCAAGATGCTCCGAGTGGCCAGCCCTGTAGTATATGACACTATTGTGCTGGCACTTTGGAACCTGGTACACAGCATATAAAGATGCAATCCATTTACCTCGGATATGCCTTAAAATTTCCTACTATCTCGTTCCCTTACACCGCTGCCTATTACCCCAACCCCCTAATTTTGGTGTCTCAGATGTTCGGATTTTTTGGGGCAGCTGCAAGCTGTTTGCACTAGACTTAGGTATCCAGATATGTTCCAATGTTTCTCATAGATTCAGCCATACCTTGATTTAGGCCTTTGAACAATGTTCTTCGTGCGGGACACTCATTTAGTCGGGACCCAGGATTTTGGGGGTGTCCCGTGCCACTGACGCAGATTTTTCCACTGCTCACAAAACTTGTATCTCCACCATTATGATGTCCAAGGGTCACTATGATCCCCCTTTATGATTCCTGGTGCATGTGGCCGCTCCAGAAGTCCACTGTGCATTATTCCGGGGGGTGGCCAGTTAGGGTGTTATTTGCTCATGTTGTACTCGCGTCCGAAATAAATTCATTGCAACATCAATTCGGCATATATTTCCCCGGAAATTGCCTTGAAACCTTCGTAGGAAGCAGGCCTTCAATGCGATATGGCATGTACTTGATATCCCGATTACAGGTGGAGATAATTATGCATAAATGCTTAGGTGGCCAGCTACCTGATAAAAAATAGTAAGTACAATGGGGAGGGAAACGGAAACGAAAACGGGGGAAGTTCCATTTTTGCCTTGAATGCGCAGCTGCACAATTGGTACAAGAGAAAGAAGAAAGAAAGAGTGTGCAAGTAATTTGATGAGCGCTGTGGCTTTTGTGGTACTTATCTGGGAGGGTGGATCACTGGGAGGGCCAATCAGATAGATTCTTGGCCTGGGGAAGAAAAAATAGGCGCCCCCGATATAGAACTCGGGCCTGATTCGAACAGGCGGCTTCCACACATGTAGGGTGTCCCCCAAGCTGATGTTAAGCAGACGAGGCCTATCCACTACCGAGTCTTGCTCCTACCTACATTGAAGCTTAGTTGCATGCGGGTGACAGACTACGGTGAGGGAAACAAAAACGGCGGTGGGAGCGCTCGGGAACCCTGTTTCCACCAAAACTTGACTTTTTGAGTACAAGACTCGGGCCTGAATCGAACAGGCATCTTCCACGATGACGGACAGTAACATCTCTGAGACGTTGCGGATGCGGACCATCCGCGACCGAGTCATACTTCTACCGCGAACATGACCTCAATATAGAGTATGAGGATGATAGAGCACTGAACGAGAACCCTTTCCCATCGTGCGTATGCTGAACAACAGAAACTGGGAAACAGCAGCCGATTTGAAGTTTAAATAAAGATCAATCGCGGCATCGAAAACAAATGAAGATCACGGCCTTTTCATTTTGCGTTACAACATTTGCAGGCCAGATTAATCTTGACTTGGATTATGCAATTGAACTCGATTAATCTTGACTTGAATAATCCAATTCACTATTCCAGGATTTAATCTAGGCTCGAATCCAGCCTGTCGTACCGAAAGACACGTCTGTCGGTAGACAGGCTGGTCGATCTGAGTTTAAATCCTCGACACACATAAATTGATCGCATAATCACCATAAAAGGTTATTCCGGCCCGCGGATCCGTGAGGGTGTGAAATTTTGTTGGCTTCCCACACACTCGGATAGCACGGTCCGGATAACCTTTTATGGTAATTAATTTGTATTGAGAATTCAAACTCAGATCGACTGGTCTGTCTATTGACAGGCTTGCCTTTTGATACGACAGACAGTAACTGGTCTAGATTTAATCCTAGGATACAGCAAGAACAGGTAGCACCGTGAAATTAATTCTCAGTAGGATTCAATCTCTGTGGGTTTAATCCTGTGCATAGATTCAATCCTGTGGACCCAAATTCTCAGTTACCCTGGGATTTAATCTTGGGTCCATAGTTTAATCCTGCTTGTGATTGAGATGGATATAGTATGTGTCCAAGATTTAATCCTACTCATGACGGTTACAGATTAATCCTACTACGGTTTAATCCCGGAACTCCTAAATAATCTGGAAATTCACCCTACTATAGGTGTCAGATTAATCTTGCGACGGTTTAATCCTACTCACAACGGTTTAATTCTGCTGAATCGTGCGACTCGGCCTGCACACGTCCGGCAGACGGCGCAGAGAAGGCGCGGGCCCAGCTGCATTCCCCTTGCCTTTGCCCTTGCCTTTGGACAAAGAATGTTGAAAGGGAGCAGGACCGGAGAAAGGACAAGCAGAATAGAAAAGCAAGAGAGGGAAGACTCACCAATCACCATTCCACCAGATCACAAGCACTTCTACTCCATTGGACGCTCGCTCGGGCGTCAAATCCTGCGCCGGGGTCAAGGAATGAATTGAATTTGATTGGACCTCTTGAGAGTCTTGAGGGAACAGAGCGTAAGAAATCCAGACTTGAGGGAAGGAGCTTTGAGAACGCCAGCCTTGAGAGTATGAACGCAAGTTGGCAGTTGCTAGTCCAGGAGTTGTCTTGAGCCCAAGAGTGCCACTGGCACTTTTCCACCGAGTCGAAAACATGCAGACCAAATGCCACCGGAAACCCATTATGCAGCCATGCAGACATCTCTTGAGGACTAACAGGAGAGGTTAACCATCTGAGAACAGAGGCCCGTCGGACATAGTGAGCAGGATTGAGCAGGGAATGGGGGAAGGGAAGAACTAGCAGTAATGTTTGACAAGGTTTGCGCAATCATTGTCAACCGATTGTGCTGCATGCATTGTTCGTCGGAGTTTCAAGGACTTGATATCTTCTGCTTCTTCCGCCGCCTTCACCCACCACCTTCACAACTCAAAATCATCGAACCTGGACCCAACCGCCCTTAAGAATCAAATCTCTTTCCCTGCGATGGTCTGCCTGGAGTCTCTCGTCGACGGTCTGCCTGAAGACTCCTGGGTTTTGTGGCCTTGTCTTTCTTGGTGGCATCTTGATGGTACTACTTTTGAAGCTTGTCTTCATACTTTCTTCTAGGGTGGCAACGAAGACAACACGGAAGGGTAAAGTTCTATCAGACAGCTATTCCACGTGGTGAGGCCTGCCTGCCTTCCTCCTCATCGTTTTTCCCTCTATATATTAACACACTCTGGATTAATCGCACATTGGTCGATATTCGATGGTGGTATGAAGTCTGGCTAACTATTCAGATTAATCCCACTGTACTTTGGAGATTAAATCTCAGACATGGTGAGAATTAATCGTGATACAAAGTCTGACTAACTGATCGCTGCCTAGATTAATCGTGCCATGCCTTGGACAGATTAAATCTCCGACATGGTTAGAGAATTAATTGCAGTACGAAGTCTGACTAACTGAGCACTACTTAGATTAATCGCACACCGTGCTTTGGATAGATTATATCTGGGACAGATTAAATCCCTTGCAGGATTAAATCGCACTTGGAATTTGACAGTGGAAGAGATTAGATTAATCCTAGCTACCCGTTCTCTTGAAGCCTCTTCAATACTTGATGTAAGATTAATCTCAATAGTGAATTGCATAATCCAATACAAGATTAATCGAGTTCTATTGGATTATCCAAGACAAGATTAATTAGCCGAGCTGATATCACTGTGCGTTACTGTTCCCTCTCCCAGTTGTTATTCGAGCAATGGCAACGATGCCTACTATTTACTTAGACGCGACCCAAAAAGCAAAGATGGCTGAGCAAGAATGACTCAGGCCCGGATCGAACAGGCGACTTCCACCATCGCAAGAACCACATGACCTACACGCTATGGATGCGGACCATCCGCGACCGAATCATATTTCCAGCCTGAACACAAGCTGAATATACCGGGAAGATTGAGCCTGATAGAGCGAGAACATTTAATTCTATGGTCGAAGCATTACTTGACCCGAAAAAGAAACAACTCGACAAAGGACTAGAACTCGGGCCTGATTCGAACAGGCGGCTTCCGACGTCGGACAGGTGCGAGTCTGGTTCTTACCCTTGGTTTTAACCGGATTCATGCCGGGAGCTGGGTGGAATACAAGTTGAAAATCACTTTACACCTGCGAACCGGGGTTGAATAAAGGATGCCACTGTTTTTGCAAGCTAAGCCTACCACGCTCGCTCCCACCCAAGTCTACGCGCGAATCACGAATCAATTAAAGGTTGGTCCGTGCGCGCCACGCCATCTCTCGCACGTGATCGCGATCTCAACTCTTTTGACTTTGCTCTTGCTTTGCTCGGACCCGTCTCCCGCTCTCCCCTTTGCTCAGCGTCTAAATTGCGGTCGCCCTCCACTGGTGGGAATGCTCTGCGTGCGTCGACCGAGGCCCCGGCGGAGACCACCGACGAAGGGCGTAAGAGGCGCGGGATGATGCACTAGTACTGGTGGTGCATGCTGGCATCTATTTTCTTTTCTCCGCGCATGCCTATTGTATAGTTATCTCTTCCTCTTCGCATTTCCTCTCTGCTCCATTCAGCCAACTGCCGTCCCGGAAGCCACCGAATTTACGCCACCCATGATGTGCGTCGAAGGCCACCAGCGCAAGAACTGTCCGAACCCGGGCCCCACGCGGGTCAAGGCGCTGGATGCCGCGAGGAAGGGCATATCCTCAAGTCAAGGAATGCAAGTGTTTCGATGGTAGGGAGACGGTGCGTGGCGGGCGTGTGGTGTCGTCCGTCGTACTTCCTTTTCCCTCCCGCTTTGCTGCTTGCCGTCGTTTCGCCTTCGTGCTGTGCTCGCCGCCCCATCTCGCCTGTGCCCCATCCCCCATCGCTCGCCTCGCGCAGACGCACATCTGCCCCACATGGCTGCCCGAGGTCAAGGCCCCGTCGATGCGACGCTGGCGGCCGCCACTGCCCCTGCCGCATGAGCGCATGTCGTGTCCACAGCATCGAGAGATGGAGACGACAAACTACTCCAAAATATGTCTCACGGCGCCATCGAATCCCTCCCTGCCTATCCCTCCCTCCCATCGTTGTGTCAATCTCAATGTCGCAATTACAGCTACATCGACCTCACCTCACTCGCAGACAGCCAATCACTCGTATCGAATTACTCCCCCGCTCGGTCCGCGTCCCGTTCGCCCTTCCTCGCGTTCACGCGTATACTTTGCGTTCCTCTTCCGGCGTCTCTCATCTCGTCTCGCACTACCACGCCTTGCGGAGATGGTGTTGGTGAGGGTGCCATTCGGCCCCGTGTCGTACCGTTCGTCCTCCTCCCATCCCAACGCCTCCTTGTCACCCCGATCCATCCCCTCTCATTTCGTTTTTTCCCGTCCCCCGACTCCATCCCGATGCATATCCCTTCACATTAAGCATGTCCCGACGCGGTGAGGTCCAGATCTCATGCGGCGCGCGCGTGCCTGGATCCGCCTGCTGCCTCTTCTTTTCCTTTTGCTTTTGCTTTTCTTTTCGCCGCCCTCGCTTTTGCTTTCGCTGGGTTCGCTCGGCTGACCCGTCTTTGCTTTGCGTTGGAAATCGCGAATCACTGCTCTTCGACTCGTCAACCGGCACGGCCGCTCGCTCACCCGGCGCTTGGCTTAGCTTGACTGGCTGGCGCCTTCCCCCTTGCGTGCTCGTGTCTTGCGTATGCGCATATCCGGATGTGAGTATTTGCGGTTCTCTGGTTCGGTGCGTGGGTTCTTTTCCTTCCCTCTTTTCCCTTTTCCATGCTATTCTCCTTCTCCGCTTTCCTTCCACATCCGGGAGCTTCACGAGGAGGTCAACTTATCTTGCCGCTGACGTACATTTCCCGAGCCTTTCTTTGCGTTTTCGTGTTCATTGCCCGCTCTCGCACTCCCGGGCAGAGGGGGGGTTGTGCGGGCGCGGGTGCGGGGGGGATCTGCTCCTCGTATAGCATACGTGGGCGGGGCAGTCTAGTGTGCGCGTGCGCCGTCGTTTCACCCCGTGTTTCATCCCCTTTCTTCCCCGTCTTGTCCCTTTTTTCATTTCCTTTCTCTCCGTTGTAGTACCATGTATTTGCACATGCGTACCTACCCATCCATCCCATTGGACAAAAGAAGCATCGATAATATGCTTAGGGCTCGGGCCTGGATCGAACAGGCTGTGGGCTGGGGGCTGGGCCGCCGAGCCGTTCTGAATACCCCTCGAGCCCTATTCGCATATCTAGAGATAATGAAAAGAGTGATACTTACACATCTTCCTTGAAGCGTTTGTGAGCCAACTATCTAATTGGTGGTCACCACCGATATCGATGAGTGCGTTTTTCCCCGGTTCCTTCGTGAACACGATTCGTTAGGTCAACCTTCAACCGTCCGACTCCGGGGATGCGAACCGGAACCAGAGCGAGGCGCGCCCAGTGGTGTTGGTACTGATTCCTGCCTGGGAGCTGGTTGTGAATCTAATCACCGCAGGGTCATCGGAACGGATGGTGTTCGAATCTAGAGGATTTATGACGGCGTAAGCATTGGCGTCCGCATCCGCGATCGTGAGTTACTGTCATCCGCACGAAGCGAAACACACAAAACTTATAACCTAAAAAAAACAGGCGGCTTCCACATGTAGGGCTCCAACCGAGCTCATGTTAAGTGGACGCGGGCCATCCGCTACCGAGTCTTCCTCCTTCCTACCTGCATTGAAGCTTGGGTGCATGCGGGCGAATAAGTACGATGATGAGAGAAACGGAAACGAAAACAGGGGCAGTTCCTTTTTGCCGTGGGTTCTCCTCTTTGCACAATTGGTAGAAGAGAAAGAAAGAAAGTGTGTGTAAGTTGATGAGCGCTGTGGTTTTTTGGTACTTATCTGGGAGGGTGGATCACTGACTGGGCTAATATTAATCAGATAGAAGCTTGGCCTGGCGAAGGAAAAATAGAGGTCGTTGATATGGAACTCGGGGCTGATTTGAACAGGCGGCTTCCGCATGAAGGGTCTCTAATTAGCGCATGTTAGGCAGACGCGGCCCATCCGCTACCGAGTCTTGCTTGTACCTACATTGAAGCTTGGGTGCATGCGGGCGAATAAGTACGATGGTGAGGGAAACCGAAACGGAAACGGCGGAAGTTCCTTTTTGCCTCGAAAGCGCAGCTGGGTTGGTAGAAGAGAAAGAATGAAAGAGTGTGCAAGTACGTTGATGCGCGCTGTGGCTTTTGTGGGATACGGGAGGGTGGATCACTGGGAGGGCCAATCAGATAGCATCTTGGTCTGGCGAAGAAAAAATCCACCCCGTCGCTATAGAACTCGGGCCTGATTCGAACAGGCGGCTTCCACATTCAGGGTCACGGATCGGGATCATGTTAAGCGGACGCGGGCCATCCGCCACCGAGTCTTCGAATAAGTACGATGCTGAGTGAAACGAAACCGGCGGCGGGAGGGTTCGGGAGCCCTGTGTCCAGCAAAACTTGACATTTTTAAGTGCAAGACTCGGGCCTGAATCGAACAGGCATCTTCTACGATCACTTGCAACAATGCCGACTAGATGTTGTGGAGGCGGACCATCCGCGACCGAGTCATATTTCTACCGCGAACACGACCTCAATGTAGAGTATGAAGATGATAGAGCACTGAACGAGACCCTTTTCCCATCGTGTGTGTGCTGAACAACAGAAACTGGGAAACAGCAGCCGATTTGAAGTTTAAATAAAGATCAATCGCGGCATCGAAAACAAATGAAGATCACGGCCTTTTCATTTTGCGTTACTGTTCCCTCTCCCAGTTGGTATTCGGGCAATGGCAATGATGCTTACTATTTACTTAGACTCGACCCACAAAGCAAAGATGCCTGAGCAAGAATGACTCAGGCCTGGATCGAACAGGCGACTTCCACCATCGCAAGAACCACATGACCTACACGTTATGGATGCGGACCATCCGCGACCGAATCATATTTCCAGCCTGAACACAAGCTGAATATACCGGGAGGATTGAGCCTGATAGAGCGAGACTCGTTTCCCATTTCACACTGTCTTTGTTGATCACCACAAACTCGGAGGCTAGTAGCCAATTCAGAGAAGTTTGAAAAATGGATTGCAGTATCGAAAACGACAGAAGGATCAAAGACATTTACATGTGGGCCGTTGGTCCTTCCTGTTGTGTCCACGGGTTGGTACTAGGGAATGTGGCTGGCGGGACGGATGGAGGCGTTCGATTCCGAATCTATTTCTGGCGGAGTTGGAGTCCGGCAATCCAAACATTTAATTCTATGGTCGAAGCATTACTTGACCCGAAAAAGAAACAACTCGACAAAGGACTAGAACTCGGGCCTGATTCGAACAGGCGGCTTCCGACGTCGGACAGATGCGAGTCTGGTTTTTACCATTGGTTTTAACCGGATTCATGGGAGCTGGGTTGGATACAAGTTGAAAATCACTTTACACCGATCAACCGGGGTTGAATAAGGGATGACGTTGTTTTTGAAAACGAAGTCTACCACGCTCGCTCGCATCCAATTCTATGCGCGAATCACGAATCAGTTGACGTTGGTCCGTGCGCGCCACGCCATCTCTCGCACGTGATCGCGATCTCAACTCTTTTGACCAATTGCTTTTGACTTTGCTCTTGCTTTGCTCGGACCCGTCTCCCGCTCTCCCCTTTGCTCAGCTTCTACATTGCGGTCGCCCTCCACTGGTGGGAATGCTCTGCGTGCGTCGACCGAGGCCCCGGCGGAGACCACCGACGAAGGGAGTAAGAGGCGCGGGATGATGCACTAGTACTGGTGGTGCATGCTTGCGTCTATTTTCTTTTCTCCGCGCATGCCTATTTTATAGTTATCTCCTCCTCTTCGAATTCCTTTTCTGCTCCATTCAGCCAACTGCCGTCCCGAAAGTCACCAATAGTCCGAATGTACGCAGCCCATCATGTGCGTCGAAGGCCTCCAGCGCAAGAACTGTCCAAACCCGGGCCCCACGCGCACCAAGTCGCTGGATGCCGCGATGAAGGGCATATCCTCGAGTCAAGGAGTGCAAGTATTTCGATTGTCAGGAGACGTGCGTGGCGGGCGTCTGGTGTCGTCCGTCGTACTTTCATTTCCCTCTCACTTTGCTGCTTGCCGTCGTTTTGCCTTCGTGCCGCCCTTGCTGCCCCATCCCGTCTGCGCCCCATTTCCCATCGCTCGCCTCGCGGAGACGCGCATCTGCCCCACACGGCCGCCCGAGGTCAAGCCCCCGTCAATGCGACGCCGGCCGCCGCCGCCATACCTGCTGTATAAGCGCCGCGTCGTGTGCCCAGCACCGAGAGACGGACCACAAACCAAAATACGTCCCACGGCGCAACGCCCTCCCTATGCATCTATCGCTTGTTAATGTTAATTTCGCGATTACAATCACAATTACATCAACCCCACCTCACCCGTACGGGCGCACGCAGACACGAAGTCGCTTGTTCGCCCGCGCGCGCCTATTTTTTTCTTATCTTCACGCGTCTCTCGTCTCGTCTCGCAGTTCTCGAGATACCCTGCGAGACTCCACCCCGCTTTCCGTTGCCCCCCGTTGAGGATCTGGTGTACTGGTGAGGGTGCTGTCCGCCCTCGTGTCGTTCCGTTCGTCTGCATCCCTCCTGATCCATCGACTCCAAATCTGCAATACTCTATCCCTCTCCCTAGAAATGTCTCGTCTCCTCTCGGCGCGCGGTTAGGTTTTTTGTCCATGCAGCGTACAGAGTACACATCAGTGCGTGCGTACATCTGCCGCTCCCTACACGCAGTCCCACGTCTCTTCTTTTGTGCTTATGTGCTGCGCATACGTACGCGTTGCGCCAACTTCTTTTCACCCTCATCCTTCATTCAGCCCTTCCTGGTGCCTGTGCCGTTGGCAAGTTTGTTCTGGTTGTCTGCTTTTGTCCTCATTTCGTTTCCCTATTTTCCCTCCTTCCTTGCTCTTTCCTCCTCCGTTCCTTGCCCTTCATTGTGTTTCCTTCCTTGCTCTCCTTTCCGTTTGTCCTTTCGCCTCTTTTTCAGAATCCGAAATTCGGGCGTTTTTAAATCCCGAGGAGTTCAACTTACCTTACCGCTGACATGCACAACCTTCAACCTTCAACATTCCGACTCCGGGGATGCGAATCAGAACCAGAACCAGTACGAGGCGCGTCGAGCAATGGTGTGTGTCTGTATGTATTGATTCCTGCCTGGGAGCTGGTTGTGGATCTACATACTTACCAATCGGAACGGATGATGTTCACAGTTCACAGCTCGAATCTCGGGTATTGTATTTACGGCGACCCCCACTCCCCCCTCCCCCCGGGGTCGTGAGGTAATTGCTCACTACTGTTCTACGCCCGAAGTGAACCCCCAAAAGCTTGGGAATCGTAAAAAGGTTTTTTTGAAAGCAAGACTTGGACTCGGGCCTGATTCGAACAGGCGCCTTCCACATGTATGGTCACGAATCGAACATGTGAGTGGACGCGGGCCATCCGCTACCGAGTCTTGCTCCTTCCTACATACATTGAACCTTGGTTGCATACGGGTGGATAAGTACGATGTGAGGGAAACGGAAACGAAAACGGGGGCAGTTCCTTTTTGCCCTGGGTTCGCCTCTTTGCACAATTGGTAGAAGAGAAAGAGTGTGTAAGTAAGGTGGTGAGCGCTGTGATATCTGGGAGGGTGGATCACTGGCTGGGCTAATCTAATTCAGATAGAATCTTAGCCGGGAGAAGGAAAAATAGACGCGGCCGATGAAGAACTCGGACCTGACTCGAACAGGCGGCTTCCACATGTACAGTGATCCACCAAGCTGATATTAAGCGGAGCCACGAATTAGAAGCAGAACCAGGCGCGTCAAGCAATGGTGTGTGTTTGTATTGTTCAATCTACACTTAAAGAACTCGTCTTCATTCGCACCTGAAAATAGCAGCGCTACTTCCAATTTCACACGTACATCTTGTGTTGGCTCGAATATGTTTGGGTTCCTCCGAGTTCAAATTTCACAGGGATAACACTGACCTAGTGCTGGCCAAGAATATGACGAAAAATCAAAATTTGAATATATTCAAATGAATAGAGATATGATACGAGTCTGGAGCATCCATCTGAATATGAATACAGCAGAATATCAATATCAATATCAATATTCAAGTACGACAATGTATTGATTTCAGCTGCCGGGTGTCATGCGGCTGAAGGTCGGAGCATCAAAACTCCTCAGCTGACATGGGAAACTGACACAAGTGCCGACGGCAACCACTCCAGGCACAGAATCCGTCACCTGCCGCACATCTCCGTCTTTGTCGACGGCATCAAAATTTTGTGATGTTGATGTTGAAACGCCTTGCCCCTAAAACTTGCACCCACAGGCCAATCCAGCTGCGAAACATTGAAGAAAAGTCGAACACGAAGCCCATTGGGGCATTTAAGACGATGTTGTGTCCAGTGGGTGTTCACTCCACAAAGTTGAGGGGCAGAATATATTTAAATATATTCAGATTATATTCGTATTGTGTTGTATTCATGTCCACAGCAGTGAATACATATGATATTGGCCTCCACGGGCGAATATGATACAGATATTCGTATTCGTATTCATATCAGATCTTGGCCAGCCCTAAACTGACCCAGTCCACATGTGGCACACCGTACTACCAAACATGATTCAAGCAACTACATAGGATTTGACCTGGAGTCTCCCCCGAACAGCTACTATGTCAACCGATACTTTGGTTATGCCCCACCGCATATATACGCAGGATGAAGAGTAATGCCGTCATATCAATCACCCTTATGATAACTGTCTGTCTGTCCCGGGATTTGTTGCCTTTAAGGATTCACTGGGCTAGACTAAGCTCGATGAATCCCTAAAGGTCCAGCTACCGTCTCGGAGAGGCCTAATCCAAGTCATTTTATAAAGACGGACCGATTCTTATCACCATTTGGTCCATCAAGTCTATTCTTGGCGGCTCTCACGTTCGGAACCACGTGTGTCCGGTGTGGCTCCCCATCTACACTCATGTCGTCGACCTACGTGCTCCTCGGTAGGCTGGAACTCGTCCTCCATGGGCTTTACTAATCAGGTGTAGTCCAATCTGCAGAGGGAATCCTCTGGAAGCCTGGTCCACTGCAGCGCAAAACACCGAATCTTTATGTCGCCATTTATCAGGATAATCGTGATGTTGCGGTGCATCGAACTCGAGCAAAGAGAAGTCTTACGCCCGAATGGAGGGATTGCTCTACCATGTGGGCTCCTCCATATCGGGATCTTGGCTCAGTGCTGACAGGCCTGCAGTTCTGCAGATTCCGATGCTTCCGCCATTTGTTTGAGGCTGTGGCACGATTCCGCGCTGCCAGGAGGAAATCTGTGTCTCGGAGCTGCTAATATTACTATTGCGGAGTTGAGGCAGATG